TGGCCTGCAAAGAAGAACCTTTAAGAAAGGAGCTTTGAGTGACTTCATCTTACTTTATTAGAGGAGAAAGGTGGCCCAAAGGTTTTTTTGGGGAGATTTTCTTAAAAATGAGGAGTAAATCAGCGCTCCCTCCTCCTCGAAAATTATGAGGACCCTTTAATACAGTCCCGTGATAAAAAATAGCAACATTTCCTGCTAAAGGAGTCATTGTTTTCTCTCAAAATACTGTAGCAGTGTCACATTTAGGGGAAAGGCTAATGGCGTTATTTCGTTATGCAGATTTATTGAACAAAGTCTTGATTGCTTTAGCAGAAGGCGGTCAATCCCCAACCCCAGATCCCCCTTTACTTCACACTCTTTCTTTTCTTTTCTTTTTTTTTTGATTAGAGCTTGTTAGCCAAGGCCTGGGATGCTCCTGATTGCCATCTTTGCCTCAGCTATAGGGTTGAGAACTTACTAGATAACATTCCCCATTGTCCCACTAAATTGGAGGATCTGGATGAGTATATGTTGCAGAGATGAGGCTGTGTCATCCAGGGTGATGTGAGAGCGGATTTGCTTGAAGGGTTTGAGTTCAGCCGTTTGATCTCCATGTGCCACTCCAGGCGTAAATGTGCGGCCCAGCATTTGTTGAAACACATCCTCTCTGAGTCATCGTCAGTGCCGTCAGCACAGTCCAGACTCTCCTGTCATTGACTGACTGTGATGTTCCGCTGCTGTGTTTGTTCTGCTCTCATTAATGTAGCTGTTGTTTATCAAGACAGGCAGAGGAGGCTGACCATACGCACACAATAACACCTGATAATCATCTGCAATGATAACACACTATAATATGCTCCTTTCTCGCCCGTTCCCTCTTTTCTGTCTCTCATCTTCTTGTCTTTCCTCATGTTTTTGGGTCAAGGCTGGTGTGGGGACAGATATGGATACTTTCCCTGTATATGGTGCATTATCTGTTATCTTTATAGCTCTGTTTTTTGAGGATTTCTGTTAAGTACACAGTCATAAAACAAGAAGTGACCGTCCTTTTGGCACACCGAGGAGCTTCTTTTATTCTTTGTGTGTCTCTGTGTTGCACCTGTTAAAGTTTGTTCAGGTATTAGTTGCATATAACTTTTTTTAAGGAAATTATAAACTTATTATTATAAATCACTTTGTTTTAATATTCAGATTTCTTTGCAGCAATTTTGGGATAATGCTTGGCACTCTTATGAATGGCATACACTACACAACTTTTGATTTTTACAGATTTTTGCCCCGATTTGCAGTCTGGATGTGTTGCTTGCTAGTTGACGAAAGTCAAAGCCAGTCTGCAGATTTTGAGCTGTTGTAGTTGACAGATTTCATAGAAATTCACATAGTGTACGATGGGCAAAATATTTTTAAGCTTCAGACTATGATTCCATCCAGTCAGAGGATTTTAAACATGCTTGATATTTTGAGTTTAATTTAAAACACACATTGTTTTAATTTCTCATGCATCTCCTAGCAACGAGGCATATGTTTCTGCATTTGTTGTGTTCTGGATGATGTGAAAGTAGTGTGTGAACCTCAGTTGTTTACTGTATGATGCTCAGTTTTTTTCTGTAATCGTTTACATAGTTGGCAAGTGTATGAAATCAAGTATTTTAAAATAAGTTCAGATTTTTAAATCATGTAGTTTTAAGTTATAATTAAAGATATGTGTTACTTCTTAAATGTACACCATATAAGTAACACGTTGCTTCTCTATTAATTTCATTTCTGAACTTTGACCAATAGAATTCAAAGTTATGATTAATAATTGTATACAAAGCAGTTTAAAGCAGCACAATGACTATACATAGGTAAAGTTGTTGCATGCAAACTATGAGGAATAAACACTGGTAAACAGCATAAAATACCATTCAGAAAAACAGCCACAAGCCAAGAATACAACTACTCTAGAAGCAGCAAAAAATAAATCAGATATTATTTATCATTAAATACATGATTTTATAAGTAGGGCTGCACACTTTGGATGCCAAAATTGTTGTAGATGCCAAATTCATAAAACTGCTGTTTCACTCTATAACATGCAGCGCATATATTTTTTTTAATTAACTCGCACCATTTGAGATTAATAATCATGCTAAGCCATCTCACAATTTTAATTTTAATTTCGATTAATTGTGCAGCCATAATAGACAGAATTTGACTGTTTACTTTTGTCCTCTTTTTAGAGCTGCTTTACAGTAGAATTGAATTTTGTTTGCATTATTGACAAAATAATTGCCTGTTTAACACTGTAAATATGCTTTGACAAAATCGGTATTGTATAAAATGCTTTATAAATAAAGGTGACTTGACTTGACTTGAATTTGCTGACTCCATTCTGTGGAATGGATTTTAATCAGAGCTGAGCGTGCCACACTCTTTTTGGTTGCTGAAAGCACAAATTAGCCAAAAATATCATAAATGACCCAGAATGTGATGTGTAAAATGCTGTACATGACAGGCGTTCCCACTGAGCTTTCTGCAGGAGTAATGTAATGATGTAACCGTTAACATTGATTGCCAGCAGCCTAAAAGCAGCATCGTCTTCACAAACTTCCACATGCCCACTCAATTCTTCTAGCCCATCTACTAGCGGGCCGCCCCCTGGCCAGTCCTTCCCTCTCCTCCAGTTCTCCACTGTCTGCTCTTAATGGGGCTTACAGCGGCGGCGCTCTGCCAAACTGCGCCCTCACGCAGGCCCATACATCAGCCCCTGATGAGGCTCATTAACCCTCCTCTCATGACTCAATACACTCCTCCTCTTTCCCTCACTCGTTCATCTCCATCATGTCTCCACTTTTCTTCTGGCCAACGTAGCGTACCTAGCGTAGCATTAGCACTAGCTTTGTGGCTCGTGAAGGGGCGGGACTTCTCTTCCCAGCGTGTTTGCCCAACAGTTGTGCAAACACCCGTCTGAAGGATCGCACCGCCTGCCCCCGGTGACCCACCGTGGCATGTTTTGATTAATTAATTATGAAATAGTTGCACGTTCCAAACCTACACAAAAACACACATGAAAGGGAAACATATTTTATGATGTATGAATATTACTTCCAGTTATTGTTACAGATGTCTTTATCATTAACCTTGTTAAAGTTGCCGTTCATAGGCCAGGAGAGCCAAAGAAAATACTTTTGTGGGTTTTTGTGAAATATTCCACTTTCTATGGGCTTTGGTTCGGTGGCTCATGTTCAAATCCGAAAAGCAATTTAAAAGCAGTACAGCACCACGAAACACTGATTGTCCAGATAGGGCCAAACAGAGGCCACAGTCGGGGTCCCGGGACAGTCTGGGTTCAGTGGGATCTTAGTCAGAGACTGTGTGTGTGTGTGTGTGTGTGTGTGTGTGTGTGTGTGTGCGCGTGTTTAAAAGTCCAATAGTGCAATTGATACTGCAAAATAATTAACTAAATCAGTATTTTTATGTTTTTCAGTTAAAAAACATTCTAAACTATTCTATAAATGTATTTAGGCTAAATTGCATTAGATATTTAGACATATTTAGAGATTATATATTAGCATTCATTTCACCTCACCAATTCAGTGTTTGTTTATTAAACATTTTGGCATATTAATTATGTTTTCAGCTACCGGTAAATGTCTCGTACTCTTCATTTCAACACACATTACCAAAATTAAACCCATTGCACAAACTTCCGCTGATTTTTCTCTAAAATTTCCTTGGCCTGCCAGTGGGTAAGTAAAATAAACATAACGGTTACATTCTCGATTATCAGACAGTGATTATCTTAGCATCTTATGCTAGTTTATCATGTTATGCAATTTTGCTTCTCAAGTTATTATTTTTAAGATCTTGGAATATTTTTACTGGAGAACAAGATAAAAATAGTGATTATGGTAATTGATCATCCACGCACATGCTTCAGCTCCCTTTATTAATCTTTTCCTTCTCTCTTTGTCTCGCACTGTTTAAATAATTTGTCCTCTTGATGAGAGTATATTTTTGTCTTTTTAAATAATTTGAAAGAAAATAAACTGTCTGCTGGCCACATTAGCATCTGCTTCCTGTGTGCCACAGTGTGTGTGTGTGTGTGTGTGTGTGTGTGTGTGAGTGTGTGTTTTAGTAAGTTAAGAGGCACCTGCTCCTGCCGTGGCATATTTCCTGTGTGCTTGGCACTGCCAGCGCCCAGGAATCCCCATTTCTCCACATCCCATAGCCAAACCTCTACGGAAATCATTTGGAAAAAGGATTTGAGCATTAAAGATAACCACACCTGTGATTATCATTAGACAGAGGTGCTGTAAAATGTTAAATCCCTCTCTTTAGTTTAAGTTTCTTTTAATGAGCGGAAAATTGAACCTTTCGGGCAAATTCCAAGTGTTGAATTTTATATAACGATTTAAAAAGAAGTGCTTGGTGAGGTGATTTGTTTTCAGTAGTGTTTTAAGGGCTAGACGAGAGAGACAGAGAGGGACCCTCTTACTGAGGGTAAGTGGGGGAGAGGCGAGGGGTCTCCATCCTCACATGTCTGCGCTCTACGTCATCACCCCCACAGTTTCCTCATTTCTCATTCTTTGTCAGTTTGATTCATTAGACTCTCTTCTCTATTGGCTATTTAACAGTTCTCTATGCTACTATACAGCTATTTAATAATTTAGGAATTTATTTTATTTTTTTTTTTGGGGGGGGGGGTTATGTTAAAAATGTTGGGGTTGGGGTCTAAAAGTATCACTCACCAAAATAGCCTTTTTGCATAAATAAAACATTCCACTTGAATTGTAAGAATGAACATCTGATGCCATTTTTTGAAAAATCAACCATTACCAAGTTCACAATGAATGCTTTACGTTTTTGTCTCCAGATCTCCATGCAGCAAAACATTTGTAGAATATTATGCGCAGCCAAATTGGACATATGAGGAATAAAGTCGTATATCAGACAGTGAATCTCAAATAATAGAATGATTTAGGTTGATGTGTATATGTAATATTAATAAACACTTTTGTTTCTCTCTGGTTCCTCAGCTGGAATCCGAGCTGGAGCAGTGTGAACGAGAGAGTGCCGAACTGCAGGAATACGCAAACTCCGTCCTGCAACAGATTGCCGATCACTGTCCGGACATCCTGGAGCAGGTGGTCAACGCTCTAGAGGAGTCCTGCTGACCGGACCAGATCACGGAGCCGAGCCCTGCCTCCTCCTCCTCTTCCTGCTTCTCCTTCCCTTTCTTCTGTGTTTCACTTGATTTCACAGGATGCCAGCCCACAAACTCTCTCACCCTCACCCACATGCACAAATCAAAGGACAGACACATACGGGAAAGACTGACAGCTCACAAGTCAAGTGCACGCTTGGATTGGCTTCGGGGTGTGGGAATGATGGGCTTTCCTTCTGCCATCCCCTACCACCACATTCATCCTCTCCGCACCTTCAGAATCCTGTTTACGCTCACATAAACATGGGGAGGAAGAAACCGAAAGGGGGAAATGGGCAGCATGGAAGCTTAGTATTATAAGTCATGTTCACTCATTTAGTTGTCTGTCTTGAAAACCCATCCTGCAGGAGGTGAAGTTCTCTCTGCGAGGGTCAGGAAATAGTCTCCTTATCTTGATATATACTATTGCCACAGCTTTTAAAAGCTGCAGGATTTTGAAACCGTTTTGAAGCAATTTAGATTTTTCCCCCCTCCTCCTCTCCCTTTTTCTAGATGCTTTGTTACTGATGTTAAATTATGGGTCATTCGCGCAGGGCAAAACTCCTGCACTCTCGAACCATCTGGTTTCACTCAAAATTTGGTTAATGCTCCGGTTGTGCCAGCAGACAGTCCATGCGGACTTAAACATACTTTTACTATCGTAGTCAGTAGCGGGTTTAGATTACTGCAACCCCCTACCATCTGGGAATTTACTATTGACTCGGTTACTGGCCGATTTCCTCCCGAAGTCTCGTTCATAAAAGTTCCGAAACGGACAATATGGGTAATGTTATCCCGCATGCACCTGTCACCATCTAAAGAAACCACAGACCTGGTTTATGTCTGTTAAAGGTGAGAGGAAGAAAATTATTTGCCTTGGAAGTTGTAGGTTTATTGCTGCTAACATTTGTCTTTGCATGTGGCAGGTTTGGTTCGGTTATGTTTTTCTTTTTTCTCGTGGCCGGCTCTCTGATGCCGAGGGCGGTAAAACAGAGGGTGTATTGCCGACACAGATGTTGTGGACGCAGAAGTGCCTCATCATCAGAGAGCAGCTGCCACACATCACTGGAATAGGAAAATAGGCACCTATCACTCATTCCGTACTTTGAAAACTATGTGGTCTCACACTGGGATGAAGACTGGCAGTAGTTTCTCAGTTTGCTCAATTTTCTAAAGCAAAGAGTTGGAGACTACGGGGTTTTTCTTGACGGATAAGGTCAAATAAGAGTAGCTGTTTAGATACCCTCCTCTTTTATTCCACTCTCTCTTTTTTGGAACAGTTGGAAGTTGTTTTTTGCGGTTGCTTTGTGAGATATCATCAAGCTTTGATCACAAGCATCTCGCATGTACCATCATGCACCTCTCTTTCTCTTTGCTTGGCTTCATATCATCATCCTCAGACCAGGGCGTCTCTGTTAGCACAGCCGGCAGGTGTATCCTCTTTCACTTTATGGTTATATGGGTCTTTATCCGATGGCATTGGGTGTCCGTTTCTGGACCGGCCACAGGAGTGATAAGACACAACCTCATTCAACTTGTGATAAACGTGTTTGCCTCATAAGACAGATCGGCCATTGCTTTAAAACCTCACAGACAAGACAAGCAGCACGAGATCACAGCGAATATAATCATCTCTCTCTCTCTCTCGCACGCTCCCATATCACCATACCACCTCTCCTCATGCTCATACACACTAGTTATGAGGGAACCTGCCACGTGTTGTTGGGCTAGATGTTTGCTTCACCCAGATTTGATTGACCTCTGAGTTGTACTGCGAGTCACTAATCTAGTAGCTGTAACTAGAACTAGTATATTGTCCTCTAGAGATTCATGTTTGTTTGTCTCTGTGAAAGATTTACACTAAAAGAGGGTTTAAGTAGTTGGGCGAATCTCATAAAAACATGTCCTGATCACATTGTACCCCAAAAGGGTAAGGAAAAAATAATAAGAAATTATATGTTGCTTAAAAAGGAAGGAAACTAAATTGCACTATTTTCATAAAAAAATGACACATTTTCACTCATAGTTTTAAGGCATCTAAATTAAGTTTTATTATTATTATTATTGTAATTCACATTATCCTTAATGTCTTAATGGTATTAATGTATTACTATATTACAGTTTTAAAAAATCCTCCAAAAATCCAAAATAATAGTTAAATAAGTGTAAAACATTTTATTTAAATTTGCATGGGAATTGGTGGAAAATATCCTTAATTGTCATGAAACAGAGACAAAATGTCTGTTTGTTTTCTTAAAGCAAGATATAATTTTCTATTACTATGTACTTAAGGTGTTTTGTGAGATTCACCCTAATGCATTTCTAATTAACTAAAGCTAAGTGTGGCCACTTCAACAGCATATTCCCACGCTTACATGGGCAATGCCAAGAAAACGCCCGTTCGCGTGCCATTCTCACCCTTGGCACCACAGATCTTATTGCAGTCATATACGTTGCATAGCTGTAAAGTGTTTTATGGTTTTATGCTCTTAATTACAGCTGATAGACTTCCTTATGAGAACATAAATGTGACTAGCAGCTCTGTTGGGTTTTTAAAATCAAACAGCTGATTGATGACGCCCGTCCTGTTTTTCATCTCTGTCGCTTTCTTCCCGTCTGCTATCTCATTCAAGCACAAACACAGTTTTGGCCATCACCCGTTGGTCTCTGAAATATGGGGCTCAGTTATCTACACCGTGGCTGAATCTCCCTGCTTAGACTAAACACAGACCCCTCACGCACACACACACACACACACACACACACTCACTATCAGGCCCTCTTGTGATTTATGTCCTTCAGTACAGGAGCTGGCCCCTTACCGCCGCTCAGCACAGAGCACTCCGGAGAATTCACTAAGAAAACAAAAAGAAGGAACGCTGTGATAACTGGGAGCAGATCAGAGAAAGAATGACCCGGCGCTTTGCAGAGGGTGTTATTGTGTGTTGAGTGAGTGTCTCTCTTGAGCTCTGGTATTTATGTGATTGCTAGCTATAGACAGACCTAATCACACAGAAGAGTATGGAAATTCCCTGCAGGCTTTGGATCGCTCCGTATGTTCAGAGGCTCCCTGTCTCAGTGAGTCCTCCTTGTGTTTTTGAGGAATTAAGGAGATCTACACCAGCCAGCGCTCTCGGTTTAGTAGCTCATTACCAAAACTACCAATATTCAGTAGCACTTTGTATGAAGCCTGTGTCTATCACAGTGTTTTGAATGCAATTCACAATACCTTATAATACTTGCTTAGTCGTGTTTACACCTTTAACCACTATAATGCATTATAAAACATAACATGAATTTGGTGTTCATGTGTTGTTTTTTAAGGGTGTAACCATTAGATAAGTATTATAGTGTATTAAAACTAGTCATAGTTATTCATAAGAACATTCAAATGATAATAAGTTGTATTATTAAGTAATTATGAATGCATTGTCTAGGCTAAATTGAGCCACTTTTTGATCTCAATGTTGGAGAGTGGCCCAGTTCTGTTTATATAATGCATTATAACACCATATACCTGAATTCACTCTATATATAACTGTATACAGGCTTTATAGAGGTGTTTTATGTTTATTTTTGTTATAGTGATGGTGCATTTCCATACCGTTTGGCTTTTTGCATCTACCTGGCTTGAAACTGCGTTCAGCCATGAGTGTGAATGAGCATGAGGTGTTGCTTCATGTTCTAGTTTGAACATTTTTCATCCTCATTAAACTCACTGAGGCATGTCTGTGGAGGGAGAGAGAGAAAGAGCTTCACGTGGGCTGTAAGGACCCGACATATTTTCCAGTCGCTCATTTTGCTGTCCAGATTTGTAATCTACCCTATTTTGCCCTATAACATGAGACATTTATCATAGTGTATACTTAAATACTTTAACAAATGGATTATTTCATGTTATATGTCCCATAATTCTTAGCGTTAATCGGTAGTATTGCCATCCAGGCTTGTTACTATAGACCTTGGCACAACTGTGAGAACACTGCCAGAGATGTCTCGTTCACACATGCATATACAGAAATCTATATTTATAAATGTTGATGGTTGGACCTCGATGTCTGTGGAAGAGAATATATCCGTCTGAACAAAATGGCTGTCTGCTATTAAAAAAAAGAAAAGAAAAGAATGAACTAGTAACACTAACAGTTGTCTTGAAATTAAAATGAAAGAAAAAGCGAAGCCTTTCTAAGTGTCAAATCAAAGCTGTTAACAAAGATTTTCTAAATTGTTACCATGTGGTTGATGATGTACTGTTGCTATCTTCTCTGCACCTCGTTTGATTTTGATTCCAACTCATCTTACAGTTGTTGTTTTTTCTTTCTTTTGGGATCGTTTGTTTTTGTTTTGCAGTCCTTGATAGTGTGCGTGATTGCAATCTTGAAAACTGCAGCGTGTTTTATATTACAAAACATGCATGTCTATTCTTGGGGCGGGAGAAACACCCATGACCGTGTTTCGAGTGGACTGAAGGATGCCAAGACCTTTGCTTGAGAACTGTGATCCTAATAGCACTCTAGGTTGCTGGGAAGTCAGTGTTATTTTAGATTAGCATCATTCGTGCGTTTGCAGGAGATAATAACCATGTTGTGCTCACTGTTTTGGTCAGATTATCAGCATCACTCGACACGAAGCCTCATTTGTTGTTCGTAGTAAATTATCGCACGCGTAAACACACTTAACATTTTTATGGCATCCTAAGTAGATTGCCTATTAAATTGTTTACTTATTAACTCATCTTGAATTGTCATTATTTACCCAAACGGTCCATCAACACGTCCACATTTTTCATGCATTACTTCCCTCCACTTAGTTTGATGGACTGAGACTGTTTAAAGCATGAAACCACATAAAACATTTTGGCAAGTTTATGTCTGACTTTCCATTCTCCGTCCGAGTGAATTCGGTGCCAAATGAAGCTAGTCTGCTCTAGAAAGTGCCACAAATAATAACCTGCCTGTCGTTCATCAGCAACCAAAGCCAGGTCATGTGACCTTTTACTGTTTATAACATGTTTGTTTTATTTTGAAACCTTTAAACCTTAATTGACACAATAAGAGGTCAAACCGAAACCAGGCCTGCTGTGCTCAGTTAGCTGCTGGAGTCCAGTTAGGTGAAGCACCAGAACAGATGCCTTTATTAAGTGTATAATAGAGTTGTTTGAGTGTCTGAGCTGAATGAAGCAGCATTATTCTCAAGGACCTAATCTTCATTTCGACTCAGAACTGTGGTGTATGTGGTAACATAGTCGTTTTCTAGACTGTTACAAAAGTTCTGTGTGCCTACTTAAGAGAATATGTCAGGCTTGTAGTTGGCACTTATGTTTTTTTCCTCTGGATTGTGTCCTAAGAGAGTGTCAGACCTCAATATCGCCCCATCCACATCATGCTTTCTTGGCTCCAGCAACCCTGCCTTCTGTCACAGTAAGGGTCTATCTTTTCTAATGATTCATGCGCTTTTTCTACGCAGTACACAGAAACATTGTCAAGGAGGATTCTTGCCCTTTCCCCTTTAATTTAATGAAGAAAAATAAATGGAAAAATGTCAACTTTAACCCAAATCTTTTTTTTTTTTTTTTTTTTAGTATTTTCATGTTCACAAAAATACTGCCTTATGTCTGTGTGTAAAAGATAAAATATTTCTGTAAAAAGAAAATTAAAAGTAACAAAAAGGCGTATTGTATTCAGCTTTTGCCTTTGTATGTATATAAACTCTATCATTCAGTCCTTTATTGTGTTTGAGTGGTTTCTGTCAATTATGATGCACTATTATTCTTTCAAATACTACAATATGTACTGTTCTTCTCTGTTACAAACTTAGTGAGCTGCCTACCTAGACTGCATTTTAAGGCATAATAAAGGCAAATGATAAAATTTATGCTACCTTCTAAGATATTTTGTTTTAGTCAAAAAATAATGCAGGATCATATGTAACCTTTGTGGAAATGATGGTCTAAAAGTTGAGAGAAATGTTGATTATGAATTCTCAGGCAAATAAAAAATTGACTATTTTAGCCAATATTGATGTATTTTTATGCTTATTTGAGTATTGTGTCATTAGCTTATCTACATGCTGATGGCAAACCTTTTTGGAATCATTCATGAGTCATATTTCTTGTGGCACATTTAGAGTGTTCCAAATGAGTCATATTATGACGTCCCAGTTGGGACGCCGCATTAGAAGGTAGCTGCTAGACAGTAAACAGCAGGGTAGCTCACTAGGTTTTGGATCAGAGCTAATGTGTTCCATAATTACTCAGTGAGTCAGTTCATAGGACTCATATCTGTGTAAGCTGTAATGTTGACATCCTCAGTGTTCAGCAGGAGCCTTTCCTTACTCCTCTGTGCCTCTCCACTGCAGACAGAAAGAAACCTGTTTGATACCGATGCCTCAACCCACAAAAAAGGAACGCAGATGGTCTGTTGAGATGTCTTGGTTTCCTTCTCCAGCTTTTGTACAGACCCCCCAATGACTGGATTTATTGCCGATTACACATCACCACTTACGCCACCCAGCGGAGTTCCTGTTCGAGTTTACACTCCTCATTTTACGATATACAACTTGGCATGCAGTACATATATCAAGTAGCGATTAGAGCATGCAGAGTGGGAAAGATCCCGTCGTTTTAGGGAAAATCACTGGAGAAGACTACCACTGTGTTTGCTAAACACAGGCAATGAGAAGAATATGGTTTATATTAAACCACTATTTAAGCCACCATTTAAATGTGC